GGTGGGTAGTAGGGGAGGTGCGTAGTAGGGGAGGTGGGTAGTAGGGGAGGTGGGTAGTAGGGGAGGTGGGTAGTAGGGGAGGTGGGTAGTAGGGGAGGTCGGTAGTAGGGGAGGTGGGTAGTAGGGGAGGTGGGTAGTAGGGGAGGTGGGTAGTAGGGGAGGTGGGTAGTAGGGGAGGTGGGTAGTAGGGGAGGTGGGTAGTAGGGGAGGTGGGTAGTAGGGGAGGTGGGTAGTAGGGGAGGTGGGTAGTAGGGGAGGTGGGTAGTAGGGGAGGTGGGTAGTAGGGGAGGTGGGTAGTAGGGGAGGTGGGTAGTAGGGGAGGTGGGTAGTAGGGGAGGTGGGAGGTCCAGGAGGCTGCATTGCGGGCTGGGAGAGAGGGGAAGGGAGCGTGCCGGGGGGCGAGGGGGGGGAGTGGCAGTCGGTGTAAGGTTGTCGGGGAAACGAATGCCGTCGTGCGAAGCGGAATGATGTGGAACCCGCGGGTCCCCCACCCCACCCCTCTCTCTCAACATTTCCTTTTCTCGTCCAATCGTACACCGTTGCTGCAGCCTTTATTCCAGCCATGTTCCAGACGACTACTACTACGTCCTCCTCCCTCCCGACCTCCCTTCTCCCTCCCTCCTTTACAAAACCGTATATTATCCCCCCCCTCCCTCCCCCACACCCACAGGGTCTTGCCTACCTACATCCCACTGTTATTCATCGAGATTTAAAACCCGGGAACGTGCTCCTAGACCAGTACGGCACTGCGAAGCTGACGGACTTTGGACTCAGTCGATTATGGGCGAGTACTGTACATACGGCAAACCCGGAGGCGGGCACTGTACAGTACATGGTGCGTGATTTGTGTATGTAATGTATGACTTAGATTAATGTATGTATGTATATATGTATGAGATTACACTGTGGGCCGCGAGAGCCGGGGGCCGAAGCCGAAACACAGCGCAAGGGTCGGGAGCACACAGCACAAGTCGGTTAGTCTTGTGTGCTTCCGACCCCGACTCAGACTGCCAACACTCTACGCAGCCACTCCGCAGCCCCTCCATCCGGGGATGGCGCTGCAGTGAAAACACCACGAAGGGCTCTCAGGTCCCGCTAGAGCGAGTCCACAAGTCTCAGCTAGGGCAAAGTCAAAGGCTCTCTGAAACAACCCCCCACAACACAACTTAAGACAAAGGGATTTGAAGGGAAAAAAACAAAAAAGAAATAAAAATTCGGTTAGGGCAGCCCAGGCAGGGGAGGGCTCCTGATACACCTAACCAGCCAACAATAAAAAAACCTCTAAGAGAGAAAGAAAGAATGTATGTATGTATGCATGTATGCATCCGCAATCCCCCTCTCCCCTCCCTCCCTCCCCTCTGCCGCCACATAAGGCCCCGGAGTGCTTCAGCGACAGCCTGTCCATGGACCCAGCTCCCGGCAAGACCCCCATCACCCATTTGAGCGACATCTACAGGTAGGGCTCCCCCCCCGGACTTGCACCCCTTGCACCCCTTGCACCCCTGGCCTCAAAACGCCCGAGTGCGCCTGGGCCCCTAGGGGTCCCCCGCATGCATGCATGCGCCGCCACGGCGATGAAACCCCCCGTCCTGGCCCGCCCCGCCTCTCTCTCTCTCTCTCTCTGTCTCTCTGTGTCTCTCCCCCCATGTCACTTTCTTTATCACTCTCTCTCCCCCCGTCTTTCTCTCTCCACCCCTGACCTGTACGGCCCCTGGGGGGCGGCATTCGTGCAAAATGATGAGCACTTGGAGGTCCGTGTTTGGTTTTGTGTGTAACGTCCTTTTCAACAGCTGCCTTCCCACCCTGTATGCATGCATGTGTCTATGTATGTATGTATGTATGTATGTATGTATGTATGTATGTATGTATGTATGTATGTATGTATGTATGTATGTATGTATGTATGTGTGTACAGTTTCGGTGTGCTGCTGTGGGAGATGTTGGCACGGGAGCGGCCCTGGAGGGGCTTGACCACCATTCAGGTGCGTGATGGGGGGGAGAGGGAGAGGGAGAGGGAGAGGGAGAGGTGTAGGGGCTTGAGAAAGTGCTGTTTAGAAAGCTTATCATGCGGTGTAGATCCATTGCATCCAACAACCAGCGGCCACCAGTAACCAACAACTAACAAAGAACCAAACCACTGCTGAGACCGCAGCCATTTTTAATCGGTTGACATTATTGGCCTTGTTGTGCTGTTAGAGGTTTCTGTAATATTTTTCCTTTCTTGTACGTAAATCTCACATTTCGATTCCCGGCTAGCCCACCGAACCCCGCCCTCCCCCCCCCCACACACACACATGCCCACACACACACGCAGGTGGCTCTGGCGGTTGGGTTCCAGCAGCAACGGCTCAAGATACCGGACAACGACAACGAACGGTAAGTTGTGGACCTACAGCCGTGGGCGGATGGGGAGGGGAAGGAGGGGGAGAGGGGTACGGGGGGTTGGGGGGGAGGGGGAGGAGGGGGGAGGAAGGGGAGGGAGAAGAGGGAGGGGAGGGGAGACGGGTGGTGGGCAGAAAAAGGAAAACCCCCCCGACCCTGGGAGGGGGAAGGGGGCGGGGCTTGTGGGGAGTAGGCCCCCTGCTCCCCGCTGTCGGCCCGATGCCCTACCGTTACAATGCCGTTGACATACCGTTGCCTTCCAACTCACCAGGGAGGTATGGGGCTGTCCCCGCGCGTCAACTACACGACGCACCTCTTCCCGCCCGACAGGGACTGCCGAATGTGTATTTCCCTCTTCACTTCTTTTGCCGCTTTTACAAAATGAACAAAACATCTCCGCCTCCACGCTTCCGGGTTTTCTTCGCTTCCGAAACGGGGGCCCCCTACACCTAACGTACCTATTACCACTGCAGCACTACACCCCTAAACCCCTGAGGTCACCTGCACCGGAATGCGCCGGCACCGGCAACTCCCGCCTCCCCGCATTTCGGTTTTCAGGTTTCATCCCAAACTTCGGAAGCTTATACTGCAATGCTGGGACGCGGTGAGCATGACGTGCTGTGGGGTTTGGGTCGGGAAAAAGGGGGAGGGAAGGAGGGGCCGAGGGAAGGAGGGGCCGAGGGAAGGAGGGGCCGAGGGAAGGAGGGGCCGAGGGAAGGAGGGGGAGGCGGTCGTCTTGGAGTCGGTACAGCAGGGTTAGGGTAATTTGGATTACAAGCGGGGGATCAATAACCAGGTTGGTCACTATAGCCGTACGTACAGGCATACGTACAGGCATGCGTACAGGCGCGGAGGCGGACTGTTATATCGCTTTTCCCCGCAGCAAGAGGGGGAGGGTGTGCTGGTTGGGTGTACACGCAGCACCTCCCTTCTCTCCTTCTCCCGCTCTCCCACCCTCCTTCAACCGCCTTCTCAACCTCAACTACTTCAACCGCGTATTTCAACCGCCACGTCAACCGTTTGCTCAACCGCTTCAACCGCCCACCGCAGGACCCACGTAAGCGCCCCGGTGCAGCCGAGATTGCCAAACGGCTGTCATTGCTGCTGCAGCACCTTGAAGCGCACGGAACACTTGACAAAGTAGCTCCGCAACCGCAACCGCTATCCGCCATAACGACCACAACCGCGATGACCGCAACCGCCACGTCCTTGGCTTTCGCCGGTTTGGCGTACGACAATTCGGCGTACGACAGTGATGTGGCGCGGGTGGGGCTGGGTCCCGAGGGGGTGTTCCTGCGGGGGGTTGTTGGAGGGGGGGGGAAATGGCGGGGGTTTGGTGTCGAGTAGCTCGGACTATGACGCCTGCTGGCCGCATGCTGATGTGGCTCCTGCTGGTGGTACTGGTGCTGGTGGTGCTGCGGGTACTGCTGGTGGTGGCGGTGGTGGTGGTGGTGGTGGTGGTGGTGGTGGTGGTGGTGGTGGTGGTGGTGGTGGCGGCGGCCGGGGTCCTGCATCTCCGCCGGGGGGAAACTGAGGGGCACATCCGGGGGCCCAGGCAGTAATAGAAATTCAGGAACAGATATTAAAGGGATCCGCTGGAAGCTACGCCACATACTAGAAATTTATTTATGATGGCGTAAGCTCTGATATTACTTCCTGCAGGGGGGGTTAGGTGTGGGGGTGGGGGTGTAGCTGCTGCTGGTCATCAGGGGCGGGTCTAGCTAGGAGCGGAGGTGGCGGGCAGTAGAGACCGCATGAGGCGGGGCTCTGCACGCAAGAGGACGGCACGCAAGGCAGGCAGGCAGGCCGTGCGTCTGTCTGTCTGTCTGTCCGTGTGGCTTCCAGGCAGCGTGAGAGGGAGAGAACGGGAGAGGGGGAGAGAGAGAGCGGCTGGCACCTGACCTAACCCGGGCTTGGCCGCTCTACATACGTACGCACGTACACACGCGTATTGAGCGGGAAACAGATCTCTCTGATGGGAGAGGGCCTCATCAGTCTTTCTCCTCTCCCGTTTCCTGTCCTACCAAGACCACGCATGCACCACATACGTTCAGCAGCCCACATCTCTCCCCCCCTTGCTGTCCCATCCTCTCACCCCCACAACTTGTCGCGACGTATCAGCGCTGTGCCTGTCCCCATACCTCTACCGTCCGCCTGCTACCTAGCTACCTAGGTAGTTTTGTTGGTTGGCCAAACATGTGGGGTGTGAGTTGGGGCTCCTTGACGGCACACACGGCAGGGGGCGGTGTGTGATCTAACTCGGACAGCCCTCGGCCTCGGGGGCCCACTGCCCTTCGTGCCCCGTACCTCAGATAGGGCTCCATATATGTATGTATGTATGTATGTATGTATGTATGTACGACTTAGATTACACTGTGGGCCGCGAGAGCCGGGGGCCGAAGCCGAAACACAGCGCATATGTATGTATGTATGATGTGTGGGACAGGGGTCATATCTTCACCCATGGCCGCTACCCTGCGAAACCCTGTCTTAACGGTATCTCGGGACACCCTCATCTAGTCACCCTGGTCTACTTCTCAGTGGATCACTTAGGTTCCGCACCCACATACATACATACACACATACGTACATACGCACACCGAGAGATGTTATCCAATCCCATTCGTTGATGTTATTTAATGGTTGATCCAATCTGTCATGCCACGCGCGAGGTGATATGCATACGTGGCATATAATGTTTGAATGCGGACGGGAATGTGAATGTGAATGTGGCGTTGCTGGGACGGGCGCTTTTGTTGCAGTACTTGTTATCGTACAAGCTGTCAGTTGTTGCTCTGTTGATTAATGCGTGTTGCTGCTAGCCAACTGGAAGTACGGAAGCTGAACGGAAGTTGGCGGTTGCTTCACAGGATCGAAAGTGTTTACAGAGTGGAATAATGAGGGATGAATGGTGGTTGGCGGTTGCACCACGCGGCCGTTGCTAGTTGCTCGAGTTGGCGGTTGGCGGTTGTCACGCATATGTCGTGCGGTGTGGAATGGTACCTTATATTCTCACGATCTCCCTTTTTCTCTCTCTGTCTCTGTTCACTTTTTCCCCTTGTTGTTGTTGTTGTTGTTGTTGTTCTTTTGCCTTGAGTATGCGTGCGTTTGTGTTTAAGTGAGCAAAGGGGAGAGGACCGCGGTCGACCATGGGCCAGTATAATTCTCTTGGGATCCCATACGAGATCCAGGCCGCGGCGGGGGCGGTTGGGGGAAATGGTCGTTTCTTTGGGCGCAGCGGTCGCCAATGCTGGTGCCGTGGCGGGATGCGGTTCGGCAGTAGCGGCGGCGGTGGGTCCGGGGGATAATTCATTTGAATTGTTATATACGGTTTGGCCTCGGATGGATGGGTGGAGGAATATTAAAGCTGCAGCGAGGCCTGGGGGTATGAGGCCTGGGGGTATGAGGCCTGGGGGGGCCCTTTTGGGGCCCTCCCGGGTGGCGGGTAATCCGTAATCCGCAATCCGCAATCCGCAATCCGTACAGCCCGTGTGTAGCTTGGGGGCACGCGTAGTCATGATAGTGGCGGTGATGATGACGATGATACTTGGTGGCGGTAATTTGCAGAAGCCTGGGGACACTGCGACAAGCTGGTCGAAGGCAGTTGTTGACCGTTGACGGTTAAAATGGAACAGCAGATGACGTAGGGGGCACAAAAGCAAGAAAGTGAGCAGCTGCAGCTTTGGCGTGGGGTGGGGTGTGCTGTGTCGTCATGTTGATGGTTAATAACGAA